CCCCCCCCCCCCCCCCCCCCCCCCCCTTCGTTCGAAAACGTAAAACGGAGAGGAACCTGGCGGTCAAAACGAGGCTGGCGAAAAGGCCGCTAATCGTCCCTAATCGTCTGACAATGCGTTAGCAGTGACCCACTGGTTGGACCCCTCGTGTCCGCGCACTTGCCATCGCTGGATATAATGCAGCCTTGCCTCCCGTACTCCAATTACCGCGTTCGATAGACAGAGAGGGGAGGTACCCGGCCAGCACCTGTTTTGCATACGCATCAGGGACCAATCAGGTTAAGTTCCACTTGATTTTATGCGGTAGCCATGCGCAACGTTCAATCTGTTTCCGGCCGCGCGGCTGCACGCGCGTCGAATGCAACATCCGCGAAAGAATCTCGCCTCCTCCCGCAGGCAGGAAATAAACGCGCGGACCACTCGATATCTCGTCGTCCCTTTTAACGTTCAAACGCTTGCACGGTGGCACAGCAAAGTCACCGTACACTGCCTACGCTCTCTATGCTCGTCTCCCCTAACTTCGACCGAATCGACGCTCGCACCGCTTCTTCGGCGACGTTCCGGAAACTGGACCCTGGCGGACCATTCGGCCACGATCGATGGCCAAAATTGTCTGCCGTTCGTTTTCGAATCGTTTTTTAATCTGTTCGACGCGCTTCGATTTTATTTGAAAATCCACCGGATAATGCGAACGCAAAATTCGTTGTATCGAGGGGAAGAGACGACAGATCGAAATTTTTCTTCGATAATTTTAATCAGTTGAAGATAGCGTATTGATACTCTTCGATCGTTTTAACGAATTTAATTTAATTAACTGAATGTTATTCAGATTTTTGGACTGCAAAAGTGTCAAATTCATGTGTGTCCTGTGATCAAATTTTAATCTCGATTTTAATTCTTTAATTTCGATTTTATTATTTGAACGACTTTAATGCTGTCGGAATTTTTGGTTTTGATATTCGGCACTCAATTGTTGAACAATTTTTTGACAATTTTAATATCCTCAGTATCCAGAACGTCACTCAGCATTGCCATCATCGTCATTGCAACATTGCAACATTGCAACATTGCCACTAGATTGCAGATTTAATGCGAAACTATAAAGACATCAAAAGAATATTTATTTTCAATTCCTTAAAATTATTAAAAACAGAAAAATCATTTTCATGCAACTCACGTTTCTTGCAAATAAATTGTGCAATTTCTATTTCGAATATTGACGCATTTTTCACATCAAAATATATCACAGACGAAATATAAATAAATGAACAGATTAAAAGAAACGAAGGGCGTCGACGTGCATTAATTGCAACTGATTCGAATTATTAACAGCGCTACGTTAGGCTCGGTCCCGTCACTTCGATAAATGACTAAACAAATCGTCGAGCAAACCGCGGTACTTTTCGAAGGGCTCGAGGAAAGGAGGTCCTCCGAGGGACGACCACCGGCGAGATTGACGAAGGCTCGCGAGTCGTTCCCAGGCGAAATTGTGCAACAGCAAACGCCGCGTTACAATCGCATATCCGAAGATATTGCGAGATGCCTCGAAACCGAGAACTTGGCTGACGGAAACCCGGATCCGGGACAGCCGCGCTTCCCACGCGGATTGAATCCGATACACACCCCGAAGGAAATCGAATCGGCTACCCTGCCTTGAGCGAGCACTTTTCTACGCGGTTGAACGTGTGCACGGTCCTGCGCGCACCTCGCGGTCGCCGCGACGCGGATTAGCCAACCGCCTCTTGCCTCGTTAAATCCTCTCGCGATCCGCGCGAAATATCGTTCGCCGATTTCCTGCATTTCCGTTCAAGTCGAGCGTGTCGCGTCGCTCCCGTGCAGGCGTCACCGTCCTTCGAAATTCATTCTTGTTGCAACATGTTCGAACAAACTGAAAAAACGTTAGGCTATTTTATATTTTTTTAAATACTTTCAATATTGTTTAATTATTCTCTATGCTTAACTTTCTAATTTCGGTGTTATTTAGCTTTACGATCAAAATCGTTTAATTTACGGTTCTTGTAATTGTGAACACACATTTATGGAGAATTAATTCGATAAAGTTTTTTCGAGCATGTGCTATAAAAAAAAATTGCTGAAAATCTTCGCGAATATATATCTGTTATTTCTATCAAATGAAACAAGATGGTTGCACGTCAGAGTTGTTCGAAAAGCTCTCTGATTTCTTCGATTGCAGTTCCTTACTTATTACAATCGATTCGCAATGATTTATTACAATCGTTGATCATGAATCGGATCACTTTTTGCCCAACTCCGGTGTCGATTGAATGACGTTGATATTCGGGGAATTTTGATATCCGGCATTTGTCGCGCTAATGAAACGATGATAACACTGCGCTTGCGCCACGAGTGCATAAAGATGTGCAGTCTAGATGTTACAGACGCTTAATGCATCGAGCAATTGACTCGATAGTTTCTAATTGCCCGCTCAACAGTTGTAAGGATTCGTTCAATGAGATTTGCCGTGATTTTGATTGCAATGTTGCATCTTCGAGGTGCAAAGTTGTGCATTTTTGCGCGAAGAGGAACAAGCTTTCCTTGAGCCGGCCGATCGATTTTCTTCCGACGATCGACTAACTTGTTCGATTTATCTCAGCCGACCGCAAGCCGCGTGTAAACCTACACTGTTGTCGTGATTTTCGCGTACCGGTCGCGGAAATATTGTTTACCAATTCGTTGCGCAACGATCAAATAGCGCGTGTTTCCCATACGTTTGTCGATGCAACCGAGTTCCTATGCAGTTCCGATGCAACTTCTTCTTCAGCGAAAATTATCCGATCTGCGATCAGTTTACACGGTTTCTAGAAATTACAGTATATTATACGAATCTGGTTTCTTTAAATCGTAATAATTTTAATAATAACGTTCTATCATTTAAATAACAAATAAAAACCGAAGAACAGTTTCGACCAGATCCAAGAAAATTGGCTTTTGCTGCGAAGTTCACGATACATCTTCCATTCGATAAAACGAGCAAGAAAAATCGTAGATCAAGTTTTTATAGCTCGTTGCAAAGAGAAAGCTTCGTTCTTTAAACTGCTGGTAGTTTCATTCGCGGAGAAAATTTTGCTACGATTGTACGGATGTTTCAATTTATAGTATTTTCGAAAGAAGCGTATATTTATTGCCTGAGACATTACTAGGATATTATATTTATTCGGACTTGCACAAATATTCCATCGGAAAATGAACTATGCACTGCGAAAGTAAAAGCTTCAAGCTTTAAAACGAGATCAGTTTCGTTAACGGAAAGAATTTCTCCACGATTCTACAGACTTTTGAATTTGCAATACATTTGTGAGCCGTGGCTTTATTCTGTGAGTTACTGGTACGCCCATCAAATCACTGTGACTTATGCAAATGTTTTATCAGAAAACCAACAATGCACTGCGAAAGTTGAAGCTTCAAGCTTCAAAACGAGACCAGTTTCGTTAACGGAAAAAATTTTTCCACGATTCTACAGACGTTTCAGTTTGTACCATTTCCAAGATGAAAACTGTCTACATTCTACGCGAGTCGATGATGTGATACTTGATTATCTGTATCACGTGTAGCCATCTTAAAGTAGAATGAACGCTGTATTGCGAAAATGGAAGCTTCGAGCATGAGAATGAGTTCGGATGCATTATCGTACGATTGTTGTTTACGAAATTATGGGAGAGTTCAAGCGTTAAAAGTTTTTCTAAGGATTGAAAACTTCCAAGCATAGGTCGCAGTCGTTGCGTCAGCAATATGAGTCTAGAATATTGTTTTCGTTTTGCCGAATTAACAGAAACGTATTGCAATAGTACGGCGGAGAAGATCATAATGCGTCCATAGTCCATAGTCCACACAATGGATCTTCCGATTCTTCAAATTGCGACCAAATTTTTCATAGCTCGTTTCGCAAACTGATAAGACGTCAAATTGACGTCACACCCCAACAATTGAAGGTTAATACGTAGTATTAACTACGTATTCCGTAGACATCGAATGTCAACGATCTTCACGAATAATAAAAAAAAACCTATCGGAAAATATTGTCTCAAACATGGACAACATAAAGGACCGTTTCGCACCTGCAACGGATCTCACTGCGTGGAAAATCTCGCGGAACTGTGCCAGATTATTTACCGAGAGACCCCCGGAGCGAGACCGATGCAGGGCGAGGAACAATAGCAATCACTTACATCGCGCTGCCACCGCAGAATATAGGGGATCGGCGTCTCGTGCGGAAAGTCCAGGTCGCAGTTGAACACCGCATATTCTCCGACGCCGGCGTTCAGGTAGTTCGGCTCCTTCTCTTCCTCTAATATCAAGCTGTAGCTGAAAGCTGTAACAGAGAGATACCATGATAGATGGTTCCCGTTCAACGATAAACGGCCAAACGAGGGAACAATCGTCGCAACTGGCGGGAACGTCGCGTGACGACCGTGCGACGTTTGCAGGGACTGTTCAATTTCAGCAAATTGGCTAATCCTCCAGCGTATTAGCTAGCGACCGTCAGAGAGCGAGTTCAATATCAACTGTTCGGTATCGACTATTCGATACTGACTATTAACATGCTGACTGCTGGAGATTCACCGGTGGATATTGACTGGTCGATATTGGCTGTTCAATATTGGCTGTTCAATATTGACTGTTGGATATTGACTATTGGATATTAACTGTTCAATATTGACTGCTGGATACTGACTGCTGGATATTGACTGCTCAATATTAACTGTTCAATATTGACAGTTCAGTATTGACTATTCGATATTGACTGTTGGATACTGACTGTTCAATATTAACTGTGGGATATTGACTGTTCAATATCAGCTGTTGGATATTGACTATTGAATACTGGCTACTGTATCGGTACTGTTGGATATTGACTGTTCAATACTGATTATTAGATATTGACTTTTACATATTGACTGTTGGATATTGACTGTTCAATAGTGACTGCTGGATATCGACTGTTCAATATTGACTATTGAATATTGACTGCTCAATAGTGACTGCTGGATATCGACTGTTCAATATTGACTATTGGATATTGACTGTTCAATATTAACTGTTAGATATTGACCATTGAATATTGACTACTGTATGGATACTGTTGGATATTGACTGTTGAATATTGACTACTGGATAATGACTGTTGGATATTGACTGTTCAATATTGACTGTTGGATATTGTCTCTCGTATATCAATTGGCGGACACTGTCCGTCGGATATTGACCGTTGGGTATCGACATTTGGGAATCGGGTCCATTCGTCTCACCTTGATAGCAGAGGAGGATCGCCAGCAGCTGATGGATCCTGGAGGACATTGTTGCTCGTGGTTATCCTTTGGTCGTCTGGTGGCCGATCTGCCGCGGCTGTCACGCCTCGGAGAGGGCGCGCGATCTCACCAGCAACAGGTCACAACGCGGCAACGCGAACGTAACACGGGAGCGAAACACATCTATCATCACCCACACTCAACAACCGTCGGCCACCACCTGGGACAATTAATCGGCACGCGGCACTATCGCGGTCGACAGGCTGCGTCGATCAGCGCTGGCACATCCTCGGCCTCGCTCCTCTGGCCCCTCCTTACCCCTTCCTTTATTCACCGATGTACCCTGCGTGTACGAATTCACCCGACGATCATCCTCACCGGATGACTCTGAGCTGATCTTGGAACGGTCTTCGAGAGATCCCGAGGAGATCCGGCAGAGGTCACGGACGAGTCTCGCAGAGATCTCGGAGATACCTCGGAGAGACCTTGAAGAGATCTTGACGATATGTTGAAGAGACCATGGAAGAGATCTCGAGGAGATCACTGGAGGCGATCTTGGCGATCGTCGACGAGCAAGGCGGCACGACGATGTCCTAGGTTCTACGACGACCAGTACGCTTCGAGGTGTCGCGGATTCGGAGCTGGCCCAACGTTCGCTCGCCGAGTGGTCCCGTGCTAGAGCTGATAACCGAGTAATCGCTCAATCCGAGCGGATACAACGCCGAACGCTGCCGTAACGAGCCGCGCTTCGGGTAGGGGCTAAGACCCGTGGGAGGGGGGCCAGGGTACCAGACGTTTCCATGCACACCGTGTGCAGCGTATTTTCACCGGGTCCTGGAAGACACGCCCACTGGGCGAGGTGCCGATCGCGCTGGCACCTTTTGTAAACAGTTTTGGACGAAATGCGGCGAGCATTTAGCTTTGTTATTGTCCCGATCGGATGGGAAGGGAGCGTACGTCGAAGCGCCATTTTAGAAAAATCGCGGAGAGATCTTCCGGGACCAATGAGAAGATTCTCAGCCTTGCGGCCATGTTGTAGGGTTTAGGGAAATAGTCTAGGGCCTGTGAGAAACTTTTGGGACTTACGAAAAAATTCCTGCGATCTGTGAAACGTACTGGGATTCATAAAATTTGTGGAACCTGTGCAAGCCTTTTGGAACCGATCGAAATAATTCTAGGCTTGTGGAGACGGTGCTAGGGAAAATGTTCTAGTGAGAAACTTCCGGCGTCTATGGAAACATTATTGTGCTTTTTTGAATGTACTGCGATACACAGAAATATTGCGGGGTTTTTGGAAAACTTCTGGAGCCTTTAGAAAAATTTCTATGCTTTTTAGAAAGTACTGGGATTTGCAAAATATAATTGAATGATCTTTGGAATATTTCTAGTGTCGGTTAAAAAATTGTAAATAATTGCAGATGTTTGTAATAAAATTCACTATGTTATTTTATAACTGCTGTGACTTTTTTTAGCGACAAGTAGCGAAAGTGTCGCTCTACGAAATCGAATTTATTTCAATCTTGCACGAATTGTACTACAATTATTCTGTATTAATTTTACAATACAGCTTTTGCGATCTTTAGTTTATTAATAATTCAATTAATTATTGCTACGTTCGATGCAACTGATCAGCGCGTACGGCTCGCGTTCATCACAGTTTTGTATTTTATTTCGTTTATTTCTTATTTTTCGTATTTTAATTATGCAGTTCAGTTAACACCATCGCCAACAAATAAATCTGTCGAGAAAACATTGGACCGCGAGGCTCGGCGACGATTTTCTTTCAGCGACTTCGGAAAAAATCTTGCGCATCCCGGCGACCAGCTGCAGTCCCGGTGCAGCGGAGCCGCACGCATCGGTGCACGTTCTTTCACGTCGAACGGAAGCATTACCCTCGCATTCAATCGGCAGAATCCGCGCGTCCTTTCAGCGGTGTTTCGTGGTCGGAGCCGATTCGAGGGAATTAAGGGGCCCGAGCGTCGATCAAAGGTGCAGCAGATGCAACCGGTGCGATGCAGAAAAGCTTTGCCCGTGATCGAACGATACGCGGCGGAGCGCGCGCGCATTCAGATGGTGCCTAAATTTAGAGCTGCGCACAGTTTCCATCGCGTCGATTCTCGCAGCTATTGACCTCTTCTATTTTCATCGGATTAATTTATTCATCATGCAGTTTGTCTACGGGCGCGGTTCACGCGCGATAGGTGTGTAACCCTTCTCGCTTCAACTTCGACGGAGACGACCCCTCCCTCCCCTTTATTTATCCGCCCACGTAGACCGTAATTACGGCTCGCGGCGATCTCATAAACGAAGACACCGACTTCCGGCCGCGGATATTTACCATTGTGTCACGTTATACCTCGCTGTCTCTGTTTTCTCGCCTTCAGTGAGAAGAGGTGTTTCACGCCGCCGAACTCTTGCGGCGCCACCTCTGACCACGCTTTCGGCAATTAACGCGATGAGAAAATTAAACCGGCGAGCACGTCGCGGCGGTTCATGATGGCGGACGCGCGGATTTCTTGATTGGTCGTCGCGAGGACCCGGATTTTATCAGCATCGGCTGGTGCGAAACGTAGGATAAGCATCGGATTGTATCGGGAACAATTTATTTTTACATTTGTTGCAACTCGACCGACAATTTCTAATTGTTCGATTGCTCGAGCAACTTCCGATTTTGCGGTTCGATTGCTCTTCATTTGTAAATACAGGAGAACATATATTTATATATATTATTATATATTTATTATATTATTATATACTTATTATATTATTATACATTAAAATAAGCTTAATAGTTCCATGTTCTTCCTATTCGGTATTTCTCGTCACCATTTCTCTCATAAATGCATAAAATCCGCGGTCTATTAACAACTGTGAAAGAACATCCGGAATTTCTAAATCGACAAAATCATCTCCGCACCGTCTACAGACTTTTTAACTATCATTAATAACGAAAATGTCTCCGCTTTCGACGTCTCCGAAAGAATCGGTGACCAATCGTGAACGTCGTCGCGAGGAAATGGCTGCGAGGAAAAATATTCGCGAAACGTTCGGCGGGCGTATGATAACGAGCTCGCGAGGGACGGGGTAAGACGGAACGGCGGCTGACTGACATTTTCCTGTGGCATCGGATCGAACGAGGATCCTCGTCGGCGATCGTCGACGGACCATCGACGTCGGCGACGAGACTGCGAAACCGCCTGTGTCGGCAGAGTCGCGCGCCATTTGCGTGGGTGACCTCAGATTACGTCACATCCGTCCCTTGCCGCATTAGCAGACTGCCCACAGCCTTGTCACGCTGTTGAGATAATGGATCCATTCGCATGGATCACGATCCAGGATTGGACGTGCCCGGGACACTGGAAATAAATGCGTGCATAATGATACCGACCGTATTATTTCATCGACGAGCCATACAAGGGAACGAACGACTTGTTCCTGGTCCACCTGCCATGCGACCAATGCTTCGCGGACGCAGATTCGTCCTCATCGGGACGCTGTAAACGAAAATCTCGCCGACTCCGACCGCCGTTCGGGAGATAAAAGCTTCGAAATTGTCCGAGAGGCCACGTATGCTCGGCTAACGCTTGGTTCAGGAAGCGCTGTAAGCTGGTAGCTTATGGCAAAAATAACAGAAACGATTGTTATTACGACAGAATAATATTATAACGCATCTCAATTACTTGCGATTTATTTGCGATTAATCATTGCATGCTGAAGGATCTTTCATCCGCGAATAAATAAATAAATAAATAAATAAATAAATAAATAAATAAAGGAACGTTTCACCATTATTTTTAAGGGAGCATCTCGCTTGAAAGTACACACAGGCTGTCCAAGAACGAGTGCCGCAATCAGTGTACGCGTTTATCGAGTAGTAATCGCCTGGCGCGTCTAATCATGGCCGATCGAATCTACTTGTCGCGAAGGTGAAATTTGTCGATTTTCAATTCGTCGTAAGTTCGTGAAAAAAAATCGCACGGCAACCGTTTCGGGCTCATTCTAAAGCTCGAAGCTTCCACTTCTATAATATTCCGTTGATTTTTAACTAAAAAATTTGTTGCATCGTTTCACAGATAAAAAAGTGCGACCGCCTTTTCCTTAAAAGATCGTGCGTTTTGAAATGATCGTGGACAGTTGTAAAAAATTTTTTTCGGGACTTGCTTCACGATACGTTCAAAGAGTAAAGTCTCCTCTTTCCAACGGCACCGAGAAACTTAATCTACGATTTTTCTGCGCCGTTTTATCGCATCTCGAACGAACCATGTGCAGCTGCATTCGAACGATCCGAGGTGCACTGCGAGGATGCACCGAGGAGGTTGGACTGTCCGGTTTGTGCCTCTTGTCTACGGTGCTTAGTGCATGCGTAGACGGCGTAATGAGTGTTTATAAGCCCCCTCGCGTCGTTCGCGCGTGTTGATGCACCGCGGTATCAATTGTTGGGGAATGCAGCTGCCGAGTGCATCGCGCGGCGCATTTAATGTAATCCGCAGGTCCTTGAGGAGTCCGGCAACTTTGCTGGCTAAGACGATTGCTGTTATTTCCGAAGTCACCCCGAAGGTACAGCTCGAGTTTGTCGGGCGTTATCGCGGCGGGATCGCCGCTGGTAATTCGCTTCGAAAACGATGACGCCTCGCATCGGGGGAAATCATGGAAATTGCGGTAATTCTCGGTAATCAGTGCCGTAGACGCGTTGCGCAAACGTCCCTTCTTCGCGCGTTTAATAGCGACCCGCACGCAGCCTCTCCGTGAATTACGGTCAGACCGAGATTCCGCGTTTCTCGCTTGCGATCTTGCCGATCAAGAGACGCATACCGCCGCAGCTACACCCGCGTCCCAGCCGGAGCGGAGACACTGGCCTGGTTACCGTCGGCCATCGTGGTTCGCTAATTGATCCTGCTGCCTTGCCAAGCAATTCCCGAGATGTCCGGAGATTCGCAGATTCTTGGATAAAGCTCGAACGCGGCCGGCGGTCGTTCGTGATTTTTATTGGCTACTACGAACGGGATCACGGCTGTTCCGTGCGACAGATGTCTCGAACTTCGTGTCTTGGACTTGAGAAAAATCTGGGACCCATGGGAACTTTGTGGGTCTTGCGAACAATTTTTTGGTAAGTTTTGGGAGACCGCGGGGATTCGGAGTGTGTTCCAGGGATCGCAGAAAATCTTTGGTCGGTGTCAAAATTGTCCGGAACGTGCTGAGACATCTTTTGGTCTTGTTGGAAATATTGGGGACTTACGGAGATATTTTGGGACCGATAGAAACATTGTAAGAGCGTATGTGATATCGGAGCTTCAGGAAATATCGTGGAGTTCGGAAGAAAAGTTTTTGGTCTCTGGAAAAATTTGTGGGCCTTCTCGAATGTACTGGGGACTTGTAGAAAAATTCTAGAGCTTCCAAAAAATTGTGCGATCGATTAAGAAACTGCGAGGGCTTAAACCTTGCTGCCGTGACTTGGGAAAACATTTTGCAGCCAACAGAAAAATTGTAGGGCCCGCGAAAACGTTTTTAGCCAACAGAAAAATCGTTTGGAATTTACTGAAAGGTTCTAAGGCACGCGAAAAATTCTTGAGCGAAAATACTGGGTCCTGGGGGAAAACTGTCGCCGCGGAAAACTCAATGGGTCCTTTTCGGAAGATTCGAAACGCAACGGGCCTTACGAAAACATTGCAGGGTCTACAGGACCTAATCGAACACCGGCAGAATCTGTTCGCTGGATATATCACGGGAGACAAGTGTTCTAAAATAACGTTTGTATTTATTAAATTTGAACATTATAAACTATGGTATGTGTATATATTATGTATATATATATTTATATGTATACGGTGGTACTAACGTTAATATATTATATTAATACACGGTAATATAATATATTATACAATACAAGGTATAATCTGTTCGTTCCTTTTTCATTTAAAAAGCCGGGCAAGGTGCGTTAGTACGTGGTGACGGCTTTCCAAGCCTCGTTCTCAGTCCCCGCTGAATCGAATTCCGCTCGATGCCGGACAAGTGCGACGTGCATGTAACGTGTATATACATATACATATACATATATACGTGTGTCTCTTATAAACTTCGTAAACGTTTTCTCTCTAATCTTACGTATCTCATCGCGCAATCGAATCGGTTCTCGAGTCGGATCCGCGGATCGCGCGCGTTTTCGTTCCAATTAAAAGGAATTCATAATGAACTGTAAACCTTTCAGGCCGGGGGGCAGGAAGGGGTGAGCGAAACGAGCCCGCCGGCCCATACCCTGGAATATCAAGCCCGCACGTGTGCACAGAGGACAGACACTCTTCTCCTTGTTTCCTTTCAAATGTCGCTTTATTTTCCATTTTATTTGATAATAAATTGTCTACAATTTGTCCTAGGTTAGTACGTCTTGGAGTTGTTCTCGTGGGTTTTGGTAAGTGGGTGGGGGTGGGGGTGGGGTGGGGGGGGGG